GCCCGCCGGAAGCCCAGCCGCCCGCCGGAGAGGCTGTGTTCTAGCCACGCCCCGACAGCCCCCACCGCCTCACGAGCCTGGTTCTGATTGGTTGCCCCGTCCGCCTTGCTGGGTTGGGGGCTTTGGCGCCCGCACCAAATCCCGCTTCTGCCCGCGAGATCTCCAAAGAGTAGGAGGCGGTTCCCGGGCTCGGTTGGGGAGGCAGAGGAAGGCTGAGGAGGTGAGTGACTGGTGTGACCATTGCAGGGACACGCTCGAGTGATAGCGCTGTGTGAATGACCAGCCGGTCTCGTGGAGTCTGACCAGGCTGACACTGAGGCAGGACACACCCAGTTTGTAGAACAAAGTCTTCTTGTTGTTTGCCGTCGAGTCGCCCCGACTCATAGCGACCCCTTCTTGGGTTGCCGAGGCAGTAGATTGCCCAACCTTCAAACAAAGCTTGTTGTTGTTGTTGTTAAGTGCCGTCGAGTCGTTTCCGACTCATAGCGACCCCATGCACAGCAGAACGAAACACTGCCTGATCCTGCGCCAGCCCCACAATCCCTTTTATACTTGAGTCCATCATTGCAGCCACCGCGTCAGTCCATCTCATTGAAGGCCTCCCCCTCTTTCGTCGACCCTCCACCCTACCAAGCATGAATCCTTCTCCAGGGAATGGTCCCTTCTTACAACATGACCAAAATAGGTGAGACGAAGTCTGGCCATTCTTGCTTCCAAGGAGCATTCTGGCTGCACTTCCTCCAGGACAGATCTGTTAGTTCTTTTAGCAGTCCATGGTACTTTCAGCATTCTCCGCCAGCACCACAACTCAAAAGCATCAACTCCTCTTCGGTCTTCCTTATTCATTGTCCAGCTCTCACATGCATACCAGGCGATTGGAAATATCATGGCTTGTGTCAGGCGCACCTTAGTCCTCAAGGAGATATCCTTGCTCCTCAGCACTTGAAACAGTTCCTTTGCAGTTGACTTTCCCAAACAAACAAACAAAGCCTAGAGAGTGGAAAATTCCTCTGATTCTCCCCCAGGGAGCTCTGGTACTGTAGTGCCTAAGGCACTTGACTGCTAACCAGAAGGCTGGCGGTTCAAACCCACCAGCCACTCCTCGGAAGGTTGGGCAATTTACTTCCGTAGTGATACTGTTGTGCCCAGGTTATGAAGGAGTAGTTCGGGGTGAATAAATTGCCAACATGCGACAATGCAAAAAGCAATAGGAAAGTTTATTAGCTAACTTAAGTTAGGGTCCTTGCTTTCACCCTCGCAGTGGGTTGAGCAAAAGACCCCGTGCTCTTACATTAAGAAATATTTATAGAGAAACATAGGGTGGAGTAGATAATTTGGTTTTTATGATAGGGGTTTGGGAATTTGGGGCAGGTTGGAATTCCCCCGGTTTCAAAGGTGAGTGAGAGATTTCTGGGGCCGGGCGGATCTCTTTGATATGTGCATATTCTCTGTGAAACCCCGGGGGTGAGAGCCCTCATAGTCTTCAAAGGTGGGTGAGAGGCTTCTTGGAGCCATGCAGATTTCTGATAAAAGGCTCTGAGGTATGGGACATTTACTATAGGTATTAGGGCTCAGCATGGGATGTGTCAATCTACCTGGAGGCATTAGGGCTCAGCATGGGATGTGTCAATCTACCTGGAGGCATTAGGGCTCAGCATGGGACGTGTCAATCTCCATACTAAAGGCTTCTGGTTAAGAGACCTTTCAGGCTTTACAATACCCCCTCGGAAACTCAAGGGAAGGGTCTCTATGACTCAGAGACTACTGGAGGGCACATAACAACAGTAACAAGGATACTACCCCTCCCTCCTTCTGTTTCTTCCATTCACGTGCTTTTTCTGCTTCTGTAAAATCGCTGGCTTGTGTCTTTTGAAAGTAACCAATCACCCCACACCTCATAAACCCCGGAAACAGAACTTATAAAAGCCTCAGGTGGCCCTTGTTCGGGGCTCAGTCTCCGGACGTGAATCCACTGAGCCAGGTGCCAGCACAATAAAGTCCTTCCACTTTCATCATCCTGCTCCTGCTAGTGGTTCCCTTGGCGGCTCTGGTAACATTTCTGGTGCATTGGCCGGAAAACTCTGGGCTTCAGCCTCCCCAGCTGCTCAAGGGACCGGCAGCATGGCTATTGCTGACCCCAGGAAGCCAGCGGCCTGGGTCGGCCATTGATCTGGGGAAAAGGACCTGCTGAATGCGGGTGGGATATTTGCCACCGTGTGGGTCGCTTGCACCAGGGCGAGAGCTGGCCTGCCTCTGACTCCAGGGACCGAGCAGGAGGAGGAATGGCCACGTTGGGGATGTCTGAACCACGGCAGGTTATGGGGGGGAACCCAGCGTTGGTCAGCTGGCTTGATCATCTCCCAAGGCACTGGCTGAGTATCGTCCAAGTATCAGTGATGAGAAACCGCGGTCGCTCATAGGCAGTACAGGATTTCTAGGCTGGTGTATCTACTGGTGCATGAGAGAGTGAGGGTGTCTGGCTGACTGAGACCTTAAGGGATTGGAAAGCTGGGAGCATGTGCTGAGCCGCTCTCCTAACCGGTGGAGACCCTCATATGGCTCACTGCGATGTGCCAGCAATAATTCAGCAGGGCTTCTGGGTCTGGGGCTTGTACTGACTTGCCAAAGCTAAGAGGTGCCTGTAAGATCCTCGAGAGAGGAACGGGGGAAGACGGAAGATGGAAGACTTCGGTGAAGCCACTGGTGGCTGCTTTGCATCACAATGGAAGGGACTCAGAGTCGGGAAGAAACTTCACTCCAGATCATGTTGAAAAACGTTAAGAAGGGGTTTGGTGCACAGGATTATGGAGTCATGATGCAGGCAGGGAAACGTAGAACCCTTTGTGAATTAAACTGGCCTACTTTAAAATAAAAAATTAAAAAAATAAAAATAAAGAGGCCTACTTTCCAGGTTAGTGGCCATCAGTGGCATCACTAGATAAAAAGGCTGTCCTGAGAGTCTGGCTGGTGGTGACTGTGGACCCCGACCAACCAGATCAATTCCCTACGTAGGTACATGGCTTCAGCTGGTAACAGTTCCACCCCCATGGCTCTGATGATGAGTCTGTCAAGTGACGGCTTCTCGGAGCCACCATCAGAAGGGGGCAGGAAGATTGGAATAACTGCCTTCTACTTTGCCTGAACCCTCGAGCCCCCCCCATTCTTCAGGAGGCGCCGGGACCCCATCCTTAGGCCCCAGTGTACCCATTTTTAAGAGCCTCCTGGCTGTGGACACCACCCACACTCCCACCTGACTCTACCACTGACCAAGAACCTATAACTCCGGCCAGGACCAGCCCGGGACAACCCCACCTCAGTCAGTACACCCCATCGCTCCCCTCAGACTCCGTCATCAGCCTGGGGCCTGCAAGCCTAGCCAGGGCCAGCACTGGACTGCTCCACCTCAGTTCATATACCCCATCACTTGGCTCAGCTGCGCAAATGCTACCATGAGAGACAAGGGCACTCACTCACTCGGATGGCCAGGTTCAAGGAGGGCAGTGCACCCTACTTTATCAATCATTCACCACCACTGACCTCCTCAACTGGAAACATTTTACCCCGCTGTACACTGAGAAGCCCCAAACCCTAACAGACCTCCTGCAATCCATCTTCCAGACCCATAACCCCACCTGGGCTGATTGCCACCACCTCCTCCTCATGCTTTTCAATACTGAGGAGTGAAGGCAGGTACTGCAAGCCGCTGCCTGGCGGGCAGAGGAGAATCTCCAGCAGGAGCTATGGCTGCACAGATGCATGCCCAGAGATGCCTCCCAGATGAAGATCCACACCGGGACCCGAAAGACAGGGAGGGCCTTACAGGAAGCACTCCTGCAAGGGCTGTGGAGAGGTGGTCAGAAAGCAATCAACATTAACAATGTGAGTGAAGTCCTGCAGGACCCGCAGGAAAGCCTCAGTGCTTTATATGAGAGACTCTGTGACGCGTACAGACTCTACACCCTGTTTGACCCAGAGGGTCAGGAAAACCAACAGATGGCCAACGCTGCCTTTGTGAACCAAGTGCAGGAGATTTCCGCCGAAAGCTTCAAAAACTGGAAGGTTTTGCGAGCATGAACTCCACCCAGTTCCTGGAAGTAGCAAATAAAGTCTTTATAAACCGCAAAAGGCAAAGCGCAAGGCAACCAGAAGATGAAGAAAAAGGTAGACTTACTGCAGCGGCACTCACCCAGACTAGGCCGGGCCCACCTAACAACTGAAGGGGTTACTGATTTCAGGAGGAAAAACAATAAAGTACCAGGTTGAAATCCTTGCTCCACTGGATGCAGTGTGGGATCCCACTCAGGTCACGGTAGTATATTGTAAGGGCACCAGAAGGAGAATACACAGGGGGCCCAAGGAAATCAGAAAGCTGATTGAGAAGCAAAAAGAGCAGCCATGGGACCAATGGAAGCCGTAACCACCACACCTCTCCTCCCTTGGATGCCAGAAGTCAGCCCAACATATTCACAAGGGGAAAAACAATGGGTACAACAAGAAGGGGCCGAGC